TACATACTTCTTTGGAATGCTGGTCTAGGACTTTACAGTTCTTCTAGTCTTCCAGGAGGAAATTTATTCATTGCTTTTATAGAAAAGCATCTGGATATGAAAAAAAAAATGCAGAAAATGCACTAAGTGATTCTAAAAGTGGCACTAGTGTCTGTTGCTTCATGTGGTCAAACAAGAATGTTCAAAATATATCTTCCTAAGGGACTCCCTGGTGGTGCAAGGGATTAAGCACAGCATTGTGAAGCTATCTGCAGCCTCTGCAGCAGAAGTACAATCTCCGGCCAGGGAACTACCCACATGGTGCGGCAGACCTCTCCTGTCCCACCCGCTGCTCCTCTCAGCAGTATATTTCAGGCAGTCTGCCAGTTCTGTTCCCCACTCTGTCATTGGTGAATCCTCTCACCCCCTGCACCTCTGGGCTGTACCCCAGTTCTTGTATGCATAAATAAATAAATCTTAAAGAAAAGATATATCTTCCTAAAACTAGGAGCACAAACCAAAGTTTATGTTTACTTTTTCTCTTAAGCCTGTTGAGATTTAAAATGCATTCTCTCCCCAGCATTTCTGTACTTGCTTCTTAACCCATCCCTCTTTTTGTCTCATCTCAACTTCTTATACCCCCACTTCCCTTCTCTGCCTGTGCAGAAGTCTCCTTGGTAGATAGCATAAAGATATCTCAAAGATGTCCATACCCCCACTGCTGGAACCTGCAAATGTTATGTTACTTGGCAAAGGGGAATTTAAAGTTGCAGATGGAATTAAGGTTACTAATCAGCGGACTTAAAGATAGGGAAGTTATCCTGGATTATCTGGGTGAGTCAAGTACAGTAACAGGGGTCCTTAAAAGTAGAAGAAGGGGGCAGAAGAGAGTCTGAGGAAGATAAGACTACAGAAGAGGTAAGGACTAATAATTTTTGCTGGCCTTGAAGATGCAGGCAAAGGGGCTAACACCTAAGAAATGCCAGCATCCTGTAAAAGCTTAGAAAAGGAAAGGAAATAGATTCTCCCATAGAGCCTCCAGAAGGAATGCAGTCCTGCCAACACCTTGATTTTAGCCCAGTGAGACCTATTTCAGACTTCTGACTTCTGGAACTATAACATAATAAATTTCTATTTGTTGAGCTGCTAAATTTGTAATAAGATGTTACAGCAGCAATTTAAAATGCATCTATTTTACTCTCCTCAGAATATGCAGAGTTTTTCCCAGGGGACATGAGCAAGTGTTGACATAGACTTTCCTAATACCCAAATGGAGATAATTAGTTAATGGCTGATCATTGATGGGTGGCACAGAAACTTTACTATTGGCGGTGAACACAGTATAGGTGCTTGTTTCTCTTCCTACAGAAGGTAGCCTGTCCACAGCTGGCACGTGGCTCTACAGTGTGAGTACAGCTCCAGATCCTTCCTGTCCACCCTGTAATGTAGCCTAAAGATTCAAGATAGAGTTCACAGTTAACACAGCTTTCATCTAAGTCAGTAGCAGGAGGAATAGAAGGCAAAGAGCACAGTCCTGCCTTTATTCTCACTGGCCAAAACTTAGTTATATAACTATACTAGCTGCACAGGGGAGGCTTAGAAATGCATATTTCTGCAAAAGATGTTTAGCTAAATTTAAAATTTTTTGTAGTTTGTGTTTAAAAGAAAAAAACTGTTACTAACAAAGAAAATGAAAAGAGGTATTTGAAGGCAAGCTGTGGTCTCTGCCATAGGTTTCAGTATGATCCAGTTTAAAATCAAGGACAAAATAGTTGACCAGATCTCCCTTGGCTACATGAGGATTTGGTAATTCTTTGAGAACCTGCATCCCAGTGTGATAAATCCTAGTTTGTCCTGTAGCTTGCAGATCACAACTGCCTCCAACTTTGGATAAGTGGGCAAGCCAGGTTGCCCTATTGGCTAAGTCAGTACTCCCCCTTGGCCTTGTGAAGTTTGTGATGCTGCTAGATGTTCGTTTGATTTGGAGATATATAATTTCCCTAACCATGCTGGTGAAATCATGGTTGTTAAAATCTCCCTTTATTTTTTGTTTTATTGAATACATGTGATGTCCCCCTCCCATGGTCTTCAAACTTATGAAACTGGAGTTCAGGAAACTTTGTGACTTCAAAATCCTTTCAGTCCACCTTCCCATGTTATTGTCTCCAAACTGCTTGAAAATAAGATGAGGAAACAGTAATTAATTATCTTCCACTTTATGCTGTAAATACTGTTGGAGTAGCTTATTTTTGCAGTGTTCTTTATAAAATAGCACATGGCTCTGTGAAGGGACCTCTTTGTTAAAAGAGAATTATACATAATTTCTTCTTTTGTCTTGAAGAACTTGATACCGAGAAATAAATACCAAAGGAGATAATTTATAGACTTTGCTTCTTTGGTAATTAAAACAAAAATTATGTCTGATTTTAGTGGATAAGTAAAAAATCTATGTACAGAACTTATTATGGTTCTTCCTTTTCCAAGTTTTCTGTGTCCTTTTTTCCATTTTGAGATGTTAGTTTGATCCTGCTTCATCCCTAGATAAAGAGATTCCCCAAAGCAACTAGAAGTCATGGTTTTTAATGAAAAGAACAAGATTCAGCTAGTGTAGACTGAAACCGTATTTTAATGTTTCTCAATTCATGGGTCATACGCTCTGCCTCTCAGACCTTGCTTCATTACTGGATGTCAGTGAACTCAGGGGCATGTTTACACAGATGGTCCTGAAATAGTATGTGGCACCTCAATGTGGAGCAAGACCTGATCAGATTGTAGGGGATATCAACACTAAAAACAAAATAGGATACATTCCAAGGTAAAGAAGAATAAAGTGAGATGGGGGCAAAGAAAGACTCTGAAGAGGGCCTCCCTGGTGGCGCAAGGGTTGAGATGCAATCGATGAAGCTGTCCGCAGCCACTGCAGCACGAGTTCGATCCCTTGACCGGCCAGGAAGCAACCCACATGGCACTGCAGACCTCTCCTGTCTTGCCCGCTGCTCCCCTCAGCAGTGTACCTTGGTCAGTCTGCCTGCTCCGTTCCCCACTCTGTCTCTGGCGAATCCTCTCACTCCCCGTGTCTCTGGCCTGTACCGCAGCTCTTGTATGCATAGATAAATAAATATTAAAAAAAATAATCTGAAAAGACATGAATTGGGATTGGACTTGAGGGAGTGAAGGACACAGATGGGGAGGAGGCAAAGAAGCTTCTCACAATCTACATAGATAAAGAACTCTACTATGAACAACTGTGTTCCATCTCCTTGTTATAAAAGTAGTAAGTCTATGGGGCCTCCCCGGTGGCGCAGCGGTTGAGCGCTGGGTTGCGAAGCTGCCCGGGGCCTCTGCGGCGCCGGTTCGATCCCCGGCTGCTCCCCGGCCACCAGTGGAGGGTCCCACATGGCGCTAGACCTCTCCTGCCGCCCGCTGCTCCCCTCAGCAGTGTGCTTCAGTCCTTCTGCTTGCTCTGCTCCCCACTCTGGCTCTGGTGAATTCTCTCGCCCTCCCGAGCTTCTGACTGTACCCAGTGCTTGTATAAATAAATAAATAAATAAATCCAAAAAAAAAAAGATATATTTAAAAAAAAAAAAAAGTAGTAAGTCTACTTTGCTAGAATACTTTCTGGCAAACTCATTGAGGTAATTAACCATTTAGATATGACATTATAGCTGTGTTTCTAAAGAATGGTAAGCCAGGTGGATAATTGTGAATCAAGCCATTTTTTCAAAGGGATTGGAAAATGACTGTTTAATACAATGGTGATCAGTAACAGAAAAGCCACACCTCCTCTTACAATGACTCTGCATTATAATACTCCTGGGTGTTTACAGATAGCTGGAAAATTGGTGTTTGAGCCCATAAAGAGAATATTTTATTTTTTTAAGATTTATTCATTTATGCATACAAGAGCTGGGGTACAGGCCAGAGATGCAGGGGTGGGGGTGGTGGTGAGAGGATTCATCAGAGACAAGAGTGGGGAACAGAACAGGCAGATTGACTGAAGTACACTGCTGAGGGGAGCAGCGGGCGAGTCAGGAGAGGTCTACTGCACCATATGGGTTTGTAGCAGCAGGAAGCGTACAGTGCAGGTTTTCTATGATTCTATGCAGACGGGGTAAAGGGAGAGTCCTGGAGCCCTCAGTGGCTTTTGCAGGCTTTTATTGGGATTTACCAGGTAGACAGCAGGCAGGGGTGCTGGGGGGGCCGGGAGGCTGGCAGGCCTCCCAGCCCCCCGCAAGTCTTCACTCTGGGCTCTCCGGCGTTCTCTGGTGGTTCTGCTTCTGCTGGCATCCCTGTGATGCCACCCTTAAAAGCCCAGTCTTAGTCTCGGTGAATCCAATCTACATATGCCCCCACACCCTTTTCCAGGTGCCTGCCTTCAGGCATGCATTTGGGACCACAGCGTTCAGTCATCTATCCTAATGGGGGATCGGTGGGGTGGGGGGGGCTCAGAAAAGCCTGATACTTTTACCTTACCCTACAGGGTTGCTCCCTGGCGAGCTGGGGATCGAACTCGTGCTGCAGAGGCTGCAGATATCTTCATAGTGTGGTGCTTAACCCCTTGCACCACCGGGGAGGCCTTATAAAGAGAACATTTTAAACTTGGTGTCTTGAGCCTGAAGGGTGGTGTAATCTACCATTCTTCCCTTTGCTCATCTTTCACCCACATCCTCTGCAGCACCTAACTCAGTATCTGATGATAATAGTAGCCAACAAGTAACACCAGTCCTAGTATACCATCGCCCTAACCATTTGGGACTTATTTCAAAAAGTTTTTAAATTTTAGTAACTTGCTTTGCTATGTGGCAACATAAGTAAACATTCCTTGTTTTTTCCCATGCAGAAGGCATGGAAGTGGAGAGGTGGAGAGAGTTGGAAAAGCAAACCACATCTGATCTGCCTGCTAATCCAAGGCAGTGCTGGACTAGAGATGGGAGAAGACTGAAGACCCCAATTGGGTTAAACCTGCACATTTGGTGGCTTATGAATTCTGATGTATTCTTGTTCTTTGTTTTCTTTTCTAGTGTGTTTGAAAGAACTACCCAGCACTCCAATGGCCAGCAACAATACCGCCAGCATAGCACAAGCCAGGAAGCTGGTAGAACAGCTGAAGATGGAAGCTAACATTGACAGGATAAAGGTGAGGACAAAACAGTCCATGCAACTCATAACCTTGATTATAAGGAGCATCATTTGCAGCCTGTTCTCATTTGGCTATTTTTCCATAGAGACAGATAAAACCAGTAAGATGGGAGAGAAATAATGGTTAGACAATAGTTCATTTTTCTAATGTATCTTTGCCTTCTTTAGCTGATGTTAGCATAAAGTGACAGTATATAAATTAAATGTATTAGTTTCATCTCCTTCCTTTCAACCACATGCCATACTAAACCATTTTTTAATTCCCTTGATGAGAATTTCAAGGGAATTCACCCTCCTCTACCTTTCTCCTTAAAGACTCAGAGCAATCATTATGTCCTTTAAGAAGCTTTCCCAGACTTTCATCATAAGGTGGGTTGTTGCTATTTTTCAGTTGTTTATTTGTTTATCTGATACATATTTTAAGAGCTTTCTAAATTACCAGACCTTGTTAGGTCATACAGACATAGAAATAGATTAAGATATATTCATGATTCTTGCCATTAACGGTCTTGTAAGGGTCTTGTAAGGGGTTCCAAAAAGACATGTTCTCATTGATGCAAGTAAGACCCCCCCAAAGCAGATTACCAAATCTTATCAGAAAGAAGCTAACCCCACACCCTGAGTTACCCTACTTCTGAAGAAACCAAAGATGTCACTACTAAAAGATAGACAAAGCATTGGTCTAATTAAATGAACACCAAGTAACCAATTGCCTCCCTTGGTGATCTTCACATTCAAATCTCTGAAGCCCTCTTGATGTCATTAGACCTTAAATTACTGGAAATGCAGCAACAGCCTGTGTTTCGGCATTTGCTCTGTGCATCAGAGCCAGGCAGGCATGCTGTGGTAAAGTGACAGATTATTTTTAGTTTAGCTGTTGGGTAAAACTGCAACTGTGTTGACACAGTTGTCAGCTAGCTGGCTTAGGGCTTGGTGATCTGCCTGTAGGAATCTCTTACAGGCTTCAAGCATCAGAGCATCTCCTTTCAGTGCAGCATCCTTTCAGCAGCATCTTTTCAGCAGGAAGGGGCTTCTCTCTGGAGATGCCAGCTTTGTGATTGTCCAGTCAGTGGTGACCTCTTCAAGCTCTAATGGGCAGATTTATATACATCTGGCAGACTTCTGGGCTGAAGACATAGGAATAGGGAAAAAGGAGGGGGATACCACTGGAACTGGACCTGCCAGAGGTCTCTTCAGCAGGAACAAACCCTCCTACTGGCCTCCTGTGGCCTCCAGAATAACTTGGCTGCACAGAGTGACCCTCTGTAAGAGGATCTGAAAAATGCATTCATTTTTAAACCTTCTTGTCTTCTCTGTATCACAGATCTTGGAAGATTTAGGCTAAGAAATCCATTATCTGTTCATAAACCTTAGATATACATGAATTATACTTCCAACCTTTATATATTTCTTTGCTAGCATTTCATTCACTGATAGAAAGTAAAAAGAAATCAAGGAAGCTGGAAAGGGGTCTGGAAGAAGGGACAGAGAAGGATTGGAGAGGCTGACATGCAAATATATGAAACAGCAGTAGTCTCACACTAATCCCAAGCAAAGGCAAAATGAAGGAAAGCTTGACCTTAGAGCACAAGTTGAGAAAGCATGTACGAAAGTAAAGGGTAGCAGGACTTCAGTAAATCTGTTTATTCATCACTATATTAAGATTATTTGGGTTTCTAATAATAGGAACCTAACAAGCTAGCTGAAGCCAAGAGGGCATGGGGGAGGTGGTTGATTTTAAAAGATACAGGGTGTCTCAGAATCCAAGAGCAGAAATATAGCTGGGGAGGCAGAGGAAGTGAGAACTGGAAGGCCATCCGGAACTGTGAGTGCTCCCTTAAATGTCTCTGCTTCTCTCTGTATATCTGCCTTTTTCTTTTCCTGGAAGGAGTGGATTTGTCAGCTGCCTCTTCCATATGGCAGACATAAGATGGGCTGCCCGTGGGTACTAGGGTCACATATCACAATTCTTCCATGAAGATAGATTGACTTAACCCCTTTTAGTCTCAATCCCATATTCCTGGACTCGCCTCTTCGTTCTAGCAATAAGGAGCCATCTGCAGTTTCAGTGGGCTGGTTTTAGAATTGAACCACCTTGCACAAATGAGGCTCTTAGAAATTAAGCCACTCATGTGGCTAAAAAGGGACAGATAGTTAAGGAATGGCAAAACCCATTGTGATCTGAGAAGATACTCTTTGACAAAGGTCATTGTTAATGTCATGAAGAATAACATGATGTGAGAGCAAAAGATTAAGAACATGGATAAAATGATTGACCCCACATAGAAATGTCAAACTTGTTTCTCATCTCTCCCAAACATACCCAATAGACTATTTCAACTGCTCTCCTCACTAGCCCAAGAAATGCTATGCAAATTCCTAACCTTTGAGTTGTTCCAGGTCCCTCAGAAAATACCTTCTCTCTCTTATTCTCTTCCTGTCTACTATAGATTGAATGTTTGTGTCCCCCCCCAAAAAAAAAAATGGATATAATGAAATGCTAACCTCCATGTGATGCTATTAGGAGGTAGGGCCCTTGGGATGATTAGGTCATGAGGGCAGAGACTGAATGAACAGGATTAATACCCATGTAAAAGAGATTCCACATGCCTTGGTGATGGGTGTGGTGTGGTAACACATATGAGAAGGTGTGAACCTGTACCCCTGAATCATATATGGTATTATATACCAACCTTATCTCAGTAAAGAGTAATACAATGTTTATAAAAAAAGAGAATGCTGCCTTGCCCAGAGAGCTCCCTTGCCCCTTTCATCATGCAGGGTTACATAGAACCATCTATGAACCAGGAGGTGGGCACACTCTGGAACTGAAGCTGTCTGCATCTTGATCTTAGACTTCCCAGCCTCCAAAAATGGGAGAAATTCTATTGTTTATAATTCACCCTATCAATGCTATTTTGTTATAGCAGCCTAAATGGACTAAGACATCATGCAATCCTTAACTCCTCTAGCGTACACTGGAGATCAGATCCAATCCCCACTGGACCATAAATCTCTTTTTCTGTTCTGATCATATTTCCTAGTTAATCTCACCTTCACCAGATAAACTTTTCCAATGAAACTACACAGTCCTCATAATTTAAGACCATGTTTCTATTCCTTTGCATCCTTGCTGGTGCTACGATGGACACTTGTTAAAGCTACATTTATGTAGTAAGCGTAACATACTTGGCCAGGAGTCATGGCTATGAGACATTTCCTATTACATCTATGGTTTGGAGAAATGTATAAGAATGAATATAAATAACCAAAATAAAACTGTGATAATAGAAGAATATTCAATGAAATACAAAAAAATAGTAATAATGCCAAGCCTGTGACAGTCAATGTCTGACATTCACTGTAAGGTCCCATTTCAAGCTCCAATCCCAGTATAATCTTTAAAATCATTTTAAGCAAAAATTGAAGTGGTCAACCCTGGATGACTCCATTATACAGGCAACTCAACTGACAGAGTGGTTGAATGGCTAAACACACAGACACTTCCCATACACATAGGCAGTGATGACCTGTCCATGCTTACATCTTTGCCTAATGCTTTGCAAGCATTTTGCAACATCAATTTTAAGATGTGTCTCAGTTTCAGGATGTAATTAAGATAGACTTACTATGTTTAGATTCTTGGGTCTAGTTTTTATTTTTACTGACAACAGTTTTTTCTCAGAGCGGTCAGGGCATCTGCTAGAGCAGGTTGCTGATTTTTCAGAGTTAAAATCAGAGGCTGGTAGCCTTTATTGGGTCTATCTAGAGTTCATCTTCTCTTACTCCTTGGTTCTTAACCCTAGTCTAGTTTAGTGAGATGACTTGGTAGCTGAGTTTCAACATTGTTAATCTAGGGAGATTTCATGTTCTTATCATTATGTTTCACATGTGATGTCCCTAAACAACGACACATCCCCACCACCACCTGCCATCACTTCTGCTCCATTTCATCATTTCCATCAGCATACAAACATAGTGTTATTTCTCCATCTTACATAAAATTTTAATTTTTTGCTCTTAAACCCCTCATTTTGACTCATTTGTTTGTTCTACTTTGTAGCCTAACTCTTGAAAATGTTGCTTATATTTACTATCCCTAATTTCTCTCTTTTTAAAAATTATTTTCACTCCAGAAATAATCTCTAAACATACAGGAAAGTTTTCAATACATTTCAAAGAGTTTTGCTTTCCCCTAAATCATCTGAGAATTAAGTTACCAACAGATTAGTGTGTATTTCCTGCAAGGAAAAGTGTGGTATATAGTCATAGCATAGCCATCAGAATAACAAAATTGACATTACTACATTGCAACCTTCTAATCTTCAAACTCCACTTAAATTTTGCAAATCATCCCAATAATGAGCCTTTCAGGAGCAAGTCCCAGCTCAAAATTATGTTGCATTTAGTTGTGCTGTCAGGCACAGTTCCTTAGACTTCCTAGATTTTCATAACCTTGACATTTACAAAGATTATTTATATTGTATAGTGTTACTCAATTTGGGTTTGTTTGAGATTTCTTAATGATTAAATTCAGGTCACAAAACCATGGCATTAGCATCACAGAACTGTCGGGAGTTTGTCTTATTGCATTCTATCAGAGGCATATGATTTCAAATGGGTCCTCACTGGTGATGTTAATGTTGATAACTTGATTAAAGTAGTGTTTTCAGGAGTCTCCCTGTAAAGTTAGTCTTTTTCCCATTGTAGTTAATAAAATTTGGAGTTTGGAGGAGGGATCTTAAGACTATATAACTATCTTCATCAAACATTCTGTTATGTAAAATTTGTTTAATTACATTAGTATGGTTTCATGGTTTCCTCTTTTATCCATTGGTATGTAACCCACTACTATTCTTGTTTATTTCAGTTTTCGAACTGGCAAACTAAAAAGCTTGTGACAGTGCCCTTTTGACATGCCTTTATCATTATTTGTTTCCTTAGTTCTTGGCACAAAACGATGTTCTAGGATTCTCTTGTTATTTCCCTGTCCCTACC